GAGGACTCTCGGGCATGAGGATGGGGAGGGAATGAGTTGCAAATAGGAAAGAGGGAAACTGAGGTAGGGAGCTCTAGGAAGGCAGAGGGGCTCATGGGGTTCCAAGTGAGCTCTGGTAGAGCAACTGATTTTGAGGTATTGCTGGTAAATATTATAGGGCTCTGAAACATTGGTTAGCAGATTAACCCCAGTTCTTTAACTTGTCAATGCAGCACTAGCAACAAAATGTATCACAGGGCGAGTAAGTAACATTTTCAAGTTCTGACAAGGCCTTCTGGCCACTGTGTTTCTCCAGTCATGGCCTAAGAGAAACATATGTGCTCCTGGCCCATCCCAAAGTGACAAGTAACCAAACTGACCTCCTAATATCAAGAATTTCAGAAGTAAACAAAAATGTTGGAGGAGCCCTAGGAATCAACTGTGAGAAGAACTCAGAAAAATCTTTGAGAGCCACTGGAGACACCCAAGAAATCAACTGGCAAAAAAGGTAATGGAGTTTCTCCGGGGATAGAAAAGTCCTAACGGTTGGTATTAGAAATCAGTGGGCAACCCGACAATTGGGAGGCCAGAACATATGGTCAAATTATGAGCTGAAACTGGTCATGTCTATGACTGAATCCACACGCTCAGAGCTGAAACTTGGTCCAGGCAAAACAATGATTAGGTATGAGAAGTCAGGGATAGGACAGGCCTCAAGGATGAGGAAAAAAAGCAAAAATAACACTGACATAAGCAGGTGAAAGAAATCAAAGACCAGCAAACACCGAATCCAAGACGAACTATCTTGGCCTCATTCATGCAAATCATGGTTACACTTATTGCTGATCTGAAGTCGGTGATGGTGCTGTACTCCCCGATCAGCTGGATCAATGCAACTAGAGTGCACATTTTTGTAATCCTTCTACAAGGTTCCCTGAAACTTTTTCCTGAAGTTATTTCAGAGTGATTTTACCTAGTATTCATTTCCTTATTGATTTGACTCCTCTGGAATGTCTATTGCACTTTTTGGACAAGTATCTGCAGACATATTACTGTTTGGGTGAATGCAGTAGTCTAAAGCAATCTTAGCCAATAAGAATTCACCAGTGGAGGTGAAGAGGAATTCACCTTCCAGGCCATCTGCCATTCTCTCTCTTTTTTTTTTTTTAAACCTGCAATGATTTTGTTTCTTCTTGGTGGCTGATATCTATTTGTCACAATGTTGTCTTACTGTTGGCCACACTGAATGCCATGTGGAATGGATCATCACCATCTGTCATGTCCATTAGCACCTCCTCCCCATCACTCCTCAGTAATCATTTCTCCTCTGCAATGCTTACATACTTTTTAAACAAAATTCTTCTGAAAGCTTATTCTGAATGATTCTAGAGTTATTCCTAAATGAAAAAGACAAGTATGTATATATATACACATCCCTCAGTTTCATGTTGAGAGCATGTATATAAGTCTCGCCAGTTACCTTAGTTATTCCAATGCTCAGGACTTCACTTATCTTTGCTTCACATTTTCTCAGTCTGATCTCTCTGCCCCCATGTCACCCCAACCATTCACCAGCAAACCAATTAGTAACAGCTTTAGGCCTCCATTTGTATCAGCTACATGCACTGAAGAGCAGGGGCATCCTAGTGGTAGGATTTAAGAGGACTTTAGAAGGCCTCCGTCCAAAAAACCAACCAACAAAAAATCCATCTCTGCTACTGACATGCTAATTTCCCCCAAATTCTCCCACCAATTAATTTATTTCAGTTTAAATTCTAGGATTCAAGTAGGCTTTGGTTAAAATACCTCCATAAGACAAGTCACTGCCAGACACTGATTCCACAGCCAAATTAATGTGAGATTGGCTAAAAGGACAATAGGCAGCAAGCTGAGCACTGATTAAAGAGGACACAGAACAAACAAGATTTGGAAGGGGAGATGGGCAGGCAGAGCACCAGGTGCAGCACATGGACCAAGACTGATAGAGGAGGTCAGGAGCTTGCAGAGAATTTGGGGTAACAGGACAGAAGGTCTCCACTGCAAGGAAGCAATGTGGGCACCCTCCTCACCTGGGGGAGAGACAATGCTGCAGTAATGTCACCTTGTATATATAAGGGTTTTAAAGCCTGCAGCCCTTAACATAGCAATCAACGATTAACATGGCAACCAAAGATGAAAAATGGGCAAAACACATACCCCAATTTAAGGTCAATGATTCTGAGGCCCAAATGATTGGGGAACAACTAAGCAACAAAGATGAGTCCTTCTGAAGCCTAGTTCAGCTCCTTGTATGGTGCAATGAAATTTAGAATTAAACCTTCTGAGCCTTCGTTTCTTTTCCGTAAAGTAGTATATTGTGAAGATCTCCTGAGCAAATGCACACGAAAAACTAAGCATAATGCCTGGCATGCAGAAAACCAACAGCAGGTGTAGACTACTGAGATCTTTATACTGTGCCACGAAAGGAGATAGCGGCTCTCACCTGCTACCTATTAGGCTCACCTGGGGAGCATCCTCCAGGCTTACTGCTAGCCAGGCCCTACCCCAAGATGACTGGTCAGACTTGCCAAGTATACGGTCCAGACACTAGTATTTCTCTGTCTCCTTCTGTTTTTGGTAAGCCCTTTAGTAATTCTGATGCAAAGTGCTACAAACAATACAAAGAGTATTTCTCAAATTATAGCATTGCCTTCTAGTCATCTGATGATCTTGTTAAAATACAGATTTTGATTCAGCAGGTCTGGGCTGGGGTGTTGGTTTCTGAATGTCTAACAAGCCTCTACGTGACGCTGATGCTGCTCCTCTGCAGGCCCCACTTGGAATAGCAAGGACACAGAGATCACAAGAGAAATGAGGGGAGAGAGAACAGACAGGAAAGAGGGGACCAAAACAACAACTAAACAAAAACCATAAGGGCTGGACCGGTGGCACACATCTGAAATCCCAGCTACTCCGGAGGCTGAGGCAGGAGGATCACAAGTTTAAGGGCAGCCGTAACAATTTATTGAGGCCCTGTCTCAAAATTTAAAACAGCAGACATAGCTCAGTGAAGAGTACTTGTCTAGCATGTGTGAGGTCCTGGATTCTACCCCCAGCTCTGCAAACAAACAACCCCCAGGAACCCTCTCCCTCTGGTAGTACACGGCTAGGGTCAGCTAATTCTCAAGCTGGCCCCTTCAACATCATTAAATTACACAGTTAACAAAGAGCAATAAATGGAGTCTGGTGCCTAATGGACTCTTTCTGCCCCCATCCCCACCCCCGCACCCCAACCCCTAACAAACTCTCACCAAATGCTAACAATTTATCATGCTCACCTCTGCCATGACCAAGTACCGTTATTTAAACGCTTTCTCTCCCTTCTGACCATCTTCTCTCTCTTCTTGACCCCTTCTCCCCCGTGAAACATGTTCCCCCCAGCATGCCTCTATTAATTTTTTACTTTACAGTTTTATTGTCGAAAATATATTTACCTAATCTGATTTCTTTTTTTAACTGATTTGTTCTAATTTGTTAGACACAATGGCAGAATGCATCTATTCATTTCTTAACAGACCTCTTCCTTCAGTGTAATGCCCCTCTTGGCTCCTCTGCTCACCTGTTCTATTCATCAGCCAGGATCACCGTCGTCATCCACTCACTTCACCCTGCATCCATAAGCCTGAACACTACAGAGACTATCACGAGCCACAGTCAGTCAGCCCACCACAGACTGTGGTCTCCTAGGACACTACCGAGAGAGGAGCACAACTCCTCCTTTTCTGAAAACCTTGAACTGCCTCCTCCTAGGACGCCTGGGACCGGTGGGAAAGAACGTGTTGGATCTTCTTCTCTTAGTCCTAGGGCAGGTTTTATAATCCTGGATGCTTATGAGAATCACCTGAGACACCCCGCCCACCCCACCCACTGGGCCTGAGCTGGGGTGGAGCCTGGTACTGTGAGGCTAGGGTCAAAAAACATTGCCCTGAGCCAGGCACAGAGGTGCATATCTATAATTTCAGAGACTCAGGAGGCTGAGGCAGGAGGATCACAAGTTCAAGGCCAGACTCACCAACTTATAGAGACCCTGTCTCAAAAAGGATTGGGGGAGCTGGGGTTGTGGCTCAGCGGTACAGCACTCACCTAGCATAGGTGAGGCCTGTGGAGTTCAATCCTCAGCATCACATAAAAATAAATTAATTAATTAACAATACTGTATCCAACTAAAAAATAAAAATTAAAAAAAAAAAAAGGATTGGGGATGTAGCTCAGTAATAAAGTGCTTCTGGGTTCAATCCCCAGTACCAAATAAATAAATAAAACACAACACCACTGCCCTCAGGAAACTTATTATTCCTACTAGGAACTAAGCAGAAACTAGCTACCTCTCCACAGTGGACACATACCCTTCCTGGATGGTTTCCACAATGAAGTTAAGAGAGTTCTAGAAGCAGAGGGAAGGCCAACTGCAAAGAGGTAACAATTTATGGCTCATTAACCGTAGCCTTGAAAATTAGACCCTTCTCGGGGTCTTCCAACAGGGCTCAGTTCTGAGCAGCTGTGAGCTCTTAAGAGTGTGAATCACTCCGTGGCAAAGAGCCAGGGAAAGAATCCAACCAACTCACTCCCCTACCTCCCTGAGTCCTAGACTACAGTCTTATCAGACACATTTTTTTTCAATGCCAATTTTAAAACAAAACTCATTTCCCCACACTGATAAGTAATGACTTCAGGAGTTTATAGGCAGCTAACAATGCAGAAAACTCAAGCAAAGAATGCAAATCAAATTTTCTGACACTGTATTCTACCTGAGTGTGATGAAAATCTCAGGTGATTCTCATCCACCCCATATGGGATGCTGCTGAACATACCAAGTTTACTAAATCTAGAAAATAAAAACTAAACTGAATAGAAATTTAGTCAAATACTACAAATGAACCAAAAAAATTTTTATAAAGATCTGAAACCATTCAAGAAACAGTTGTAATAACAGCAAGTAAATCTGCACCAGCCAAGTAATTCCTGTAAAGAAAATATCATACCTGATTAGGTCTGGCTCTGCACCCTCATTCTTAAAGGATGCCAGAAGTAGTCTCTCGCGCGTTACAAGATCATCCAGTAGGTTCTGTCTTCGATCCCCTTCCAGTTGTGTTCTGCAGACACCTTGTTAAGGTCCAGTGGTGGATGGGTTACCTGATTTTACCTATTATGTTATTAAATGACCTATTCAAGTCACTGGCAGCTCTTCCACTCCAAACACTACTATCTAGAAGAGAACCTGTTCTTCAGCTTCTCCTGCTCTGACCTTCAACTCCACAGATCCTCCAGGTAAATGACCTTGCCAGCACTATTGCAAAGGAATGTATAAATGCTGACATAGATCATTATATCACTACATAAATTCTTGCACTGAAAAATATACAAGGTAAATATTTTCCTCCCAGTGACCTGTCAACAGGACAGGCTGGCTCAGTGATTCTTTAGGTTTTGAGTTTTAGATGTTAGTGTTCAGGGGTGTAAGATAGGGGTGGGGGTGGGGTTCAGTGGTAGAGTACTTGCCTAGCATGTGGGATGCCTGGGTTTGATCCCCAACTGGGATCAAACTGGGTGAGGGGGTGCTCCAAGATACCATGTTTTGAAGTGCCTGCTTTTTGACACCTAGTAGTAGACCTGGAAAATAGATTTTAAAGTGCCACTGTGTGGAATAATTTGCTGTAAAAATTGTCACCATCAGTTCCTTGTTCATTTATATTACATGATCTTTAAGGAAAATTACAAAGAAACTCTAGTAAGCATACTCAAGTAGAAGTTTAAAAGACTATAGTTTTGTCCACTGTCTATGATCTTGAATTGGTTACTTTGGTCTTGGGGAGTCTCTTTCTATCTGTAACACCAGATCTTCTGTTACATTTTTCAGCACTATTCTTATTTATTTATTGGTACTGGGGACTGAACCCAGGAGTATTTTATCACTGAGCTACATTCTCAGCCCTTTTTAATTTATTATTTTGAGGAAAGTTGCCTAGGCTGCCCTGGAACTTGTGATCCTCCTACCTCAGCCTCCAGAGTACCTGGGATTACAGGTGTGGGTCACCACGCACAGCTTTCCAGAACAATTTCATAAGTGATCGTTAAAAAATAATAACAACAATAGGGGCTGGGGCCAGTGGCAGAGTGCTTGCCTAGCAAGTGTGAGGCACTAGGTTCGATCCTTAGCACTGCATACAAAAATAAGCAAATAAAATAAGCTGTCCATCTATAACTACAAAATTTTTTTTAAAAAAATAATGATAATAAATCAGAACCTAATCCAAAAGTTTTGGGTTTTAGTGCTGGGGATTCAATCCAGGACCTCCTGAATGGTGCTAAGCATGCACTCTACAACTGAGCTATACCCTCAGCCCCTAAATCCAAAGTTTCACATACTAGTTTTCTTGAAATAAATCACACAAGTTCTGCTAGGCTTAAGGGTGTGTGGGTAAGTGTGTGGGGGAATGTATTTTGAAAAACAAAGTAAAGGAAATGTTGAAGAAGAAAGCTTTCTCTACTCTTTTTCTTGATGGCAGAAGTTAACACTTCTGAAAGGAGATAGCTGGCACTGGACACAAAAAACAAACACACCTCAACTAGGTTTTAACTGGATTTTACATTTTTTAACAAGTGGACTTTGGTTTGGGCTTTGGGCTTTTTTGTTTTGTTTTTGTTTTTGGTGTGGGGGAGTACTGGGGATTGAACCCAGGGGTGCTCTACCACTGAGCTATATCCCCAACCCTTTTTATTTTTTATTTTGAGACAGGATCTAAGACACTAAGTAGCCCAGGCTGGCCTCAAACCTGCAATCCTCCTTCCTCAGCCTCCAGAGTTGCTGGGATTAGAGGTAAACACCACTATGCCTGGTTGTGATCTTTCTTTTATTAGATTTGGAAGGCTGGTGATTCAAAACAGCACTGGCCACAAGTCCCTAGTCCTAGTAATTATAGTCAGACATTAGTGAAACGGATGCTTTGGATTTATAGACACTTTTCTTCTTAAAAAAGGCTAAAAAACATTGCATTCTGGCCTAAAAATTTCCGAGGAATTGACAGAATCAAGTAGTAGCATCATCATTGTCTGATGGAAAAATTATAGCCCAAGGAATCTATAAATCTTGTTGCTTATTTTGTACATCAACTGGCTGGTAAACAAACCCAGGCAGAAATTTCCCCAACAACCATTGTCTGAAAAATCACAAATTCCCCAAACCAATGTAGCTGAGCACTCAATGGCTTTAGATATTTTAAAAAGAATAATAATAATAATAAATGAATTCTCTTAACATTCCAGAATGCCACACTATCCTGGGTCAGATCAATACCATTACTTTGCCATTTCCTACTTGATGACAGTCACTAAGTACTCCATCTTGGAAACCATGAACTAGCAATTATAAAGAAACAGTGATCTTATAACCAGGCGGAGTGGCACATGCCAGTAATCCCAGTAACTCAGGACCCTGAGGCAGGAGGATCACAAGTTCTAAGCCAGCCTGGGCAGCTCAGCGAGAGCTTGCCTCAAGATAAAAACCAAAAAGGGATAGAGATGTGGCTCAGTAGTACAGGACTCCTGGATTCAATCCCCAATACCTCAAAAACAATGACCTTAAATATTTTTATGTATTAATAAAAGGGCCAAATATCATCCTTTTGATCAATGCAATGTCAAGAATATCCATGTCTTTCAAATTAATGGCAAACTGTCAGTAAAGCAGAAGGCTTTTCTATCTAAAACAAGCTCCACATAAATTAAAGAAGTAACAGAAGCCATGACAAGAATTAATAAGTCAAAATGAGAATTTTAAATTGTGTTAACTACTAACTATATTCTAATATTATTCATTGTCTTATATGCTATATTCAAGAAAATTTTGGAAAGAGCCAAGGACCCAGGAATTCTCTTAAATTCACTGTGGGAATGTACACAGGTTCAACCAACTGCCAAACTGCCTTCTATATAGCTAACAAAATTTAAAATTTAAAGGGCACTTTTTTTTTTTTTTTGCAGTTTTGGAGATTGAACCTAGGGGTGCTCTACCACTGAACTACATCCCCAGCCCTTTTGAATTTTTATGTTGAGACAGGGTCTTGCTAAGTTGCTAAAGTTGGCTTTGAACTTGTGATCTTCCTGCCACAGTCTTCTGAGTTGCTGAGATTACAGGCATGCGCCACCGCACCCAGCAAAAAAAAAAAAAAAAGGATACATTCTTTTAACAGGAATTTTTCTTGCAGATACATTCAAACTCCATACCAGGACTTTGGAGAAAAGATGTTCACTACACTATCATTTATAATGGCTCAAAACTAGAAGTATCCTAAAATTTCACCAAAAAGGAACTAGTGCATCTATGCAAAGAAGATTTTGCAGACTAAAAAAAAAAAAAAAAAGGAATAGGAAAACTGCTTATGTACTGATAGTAATGGCAATTAACATTTCTGAGCACTTACAAGCATTCATACACATTATGTGATATGGAATAAGCTCCAAAATTCAGTATTAAACCAAGAAGGGGAGGCAAATAGCAGTAATAGCAACAAGGAGCTATATGGAGAATTGTATGCTCCCACTTTGTTAATAAAAAAAGATCAGATAAATATAGATGTTTGTACATACACCAAAAATTTCTGAAAATACAAATAACTCTAAGGAAGTAAAACTGACAATTCAGAGATAAAGGAGACTGAACATTGTTTTGTATTGTGTGACTCTGCTATGGGCTTATTAATAAAAACAAAAGTTTCAGAACCAACTATACAATATGATCCTTTCATCATCAAAAGAATTTTATATTTACACGTACATATTTCATGCCTAGAAAAGTCTGGGATAAGAAGTACTAACCATCAACATTGTTAACTATGAAGAATGAGATGTGGCAAGATATGGAAGCGGAAGAGAAAGGAGTCACTTCTAAAATGTATAACTACAGATAGAAAGTACTTTGTGTAATAAAAGCAATTCAAGGTAATCTTTAATATTTAATAGTAGTTACAGAATTAAACTAATATTAAGCCAGATGCTGTGGTGCATACCTATAATCCCAGCTACCCAGGATGCTGAAGCAGGAGGATCACAAGTTCAAGGCCAGCCTGGGCAACTTAGAAAGTCCCTGCCTCAAAATAAAAATGAAAAGGGCTGGGGATGTAGTTCTGTGCTAGAGCACCCCTGGGATCAATCCCCAGGACTGCATGTATAAACAAACTAAAGTTTAGAATGAATCAACAATTAAAGAAGATCACTTTCAAAGGTATTAAATTTGTTAATTACTTTTGTAGGTTAGAGAGTGAAGAAGAGAATCACAGATATTTGATAAAGGAAGAGGCTTTTGAGATCCCCTAATTTAATTCATTTTTCTGACAGGAAATTAAGGCCCAGCATAGCTAAGCTGCTCTGATGGTTAATGGCAAAGCTGGGTTAGAGTCCAGCTCTTTCTGCCCTTGGTCAGGGCCTTCTGCACCACATCATGCTGAGCACCAAAATTCCAGAGGTTACAGCATCCTGGGGCTGCCAGCACTGCCACTTCTCTTTACCACCTCTTAGAAGCCTGAAAAAACAGTACTGGTACAAGTTGAGCACCCCTAATCCAAAAATTCAAAATCTGAGATGCTCCAAAATCTATAACTTTTTGAATACCTATATGAATGCCACAGGTGGAAAATTTGATCCTGGGAAATTCTGTTTCATATACAAAATTTTTTAAAATATTGTTTGTATAAAATTACAATCAGCCTATATACATAAGGTGTATATGAAACAAATAAATTTTGTGCTTAGACTTACGTCACATGCCAGATATTTCATTATGCATATGTAAATATTCCACAATCTGAAAAAAATTCTAAATGCATGGGACGGATAAGGGACACTCAACCTGTAATACTAACTAGAATATTCCCAGAGACTCTCTGTAAATCTGGGAAAACTATCCCATTAGGAACACTCTGCTTCTTTTATGTTTTGTTTTAATATATTGAGAGAATAGGCCATAGGAGTTGGGGTGATGGGAGGTGGAAGACTAAATTAACAGACCATCTACACTAGACACTAAATAGAATGTTAATAAGAAATCAAAGAATCGGGTAATAATCTACACTGCATATATGTGGACATACCTATGACA